GAATTATTATACCAAGTCAAAAGAAAGTCAAAATGACTTTATTTTGATGTCATGAAAGTCAAAATAATGATTTTTTGTTACAAAATTTGATTGTTATTTTGACATTAAGAAGCAAAATAAAATAATTTTGATTTTTTTTGTTGACTTTTAGGTATTTCTTGAGTTGTTGTAAGAATTGACTTAATTTTGATTTTTAATAACAGTATATATAATGAACCGACATGAAGAAATATTTGACTATGATTAATCAAGTTTTACGATTACAAGTATTTATTAATATTAATTACACACAGTTAATAATATAAATACTATTATTTATTGGTACCGACAATGTTATTGACCGTATAAGGTCTCCTCCTATTGTCGTTAATGCGCATTGTTGAATTCGCTTGGAGTTCGCGTAGCTACTTTATTACACGCGACCACACAAAATTACCTCGTAATGAAATCATTGTAGAAACCAAAATTAAAGCAAAATGGACAAGCATTCCTAAATGAATATTTATTAACTTTTAATCAAAATATCAACCGCTAAAATTTCTCTGTATAAAGAACGAAATTTTTAAACATGAAGATAACAAATAATAATTCTATTTATTATGCCAAATAATTATTTATTATTTTATTTAAGTTGTGCGCATGATGTATGTATACATATGATGGATGTATACATATAAGTACAATAAATTTGTATACATTACCGTATCGAATCTTTTCATTGAGTCTTTACGTCACTTTTTATATGGCAGTCTAATTCACGTAATCTTTTTCTAAATCTATGATCTTAAACTTATATTAACATCTTACGAAGATATTTAATTATTCTAAGTATATGGTAGCCATTATTTTTTCTGTCGAAGTACATTACGCGATTTTATCACGAAATTTTAGTGGTATCTGTTAATTTTTTATAACGTCACAACGAAATATGCGATAACCCTTATCGCAAAATTAGCGATCGCCATTGTTTACTACGCTGTAGTTTGATGCAAACACTCGATAATTGCATCCGTAACCCTATTTCAAAATAAATAAACAGGGTCATTGCTCTTGAGTTTTTTCAAAATAATTTATCGCTCTTATCTATTTAAGGAAAAAAAGCTATTACATTAACCATCCTAAATTATAATCAGATTGTATATTGCCAAATAATTAAAAATAATGTTATAGAGCTATTAAAGCTTGAAAAACATTTAGCCTAATAGTATTTTTGATATATGAACTTAGGAGAATTTGGGGAACTTCTCCTTAAACAAGCTTATATTAAATATAATATAAGGAAATATAAACATATTCTATCGTTTAAGAACAAAACTTTTGAAATTTAAAATCAAGCATATCGTATGACAAGCATCTCACTAGCAAAAATATTGCGAAAGAAACGAAATATTTATTGAAACCGTTTGGACATCTAGATTCCTCCAATCTTACAATAGACCATCGTATAATTAGGCCGTAGCGCGTATCCGACGACGAATAGTAATTAGATCAGCATTTAACCGATAATCGGCTATCCTATAATTAGATGTGTCAGCTATTTCGTACGACTTTATCGTACGGTCTTTATTGCCTCGATAAACTTGCGCCGTATAGTATAATCGTTGTTAAGCGGCAAATAGAAGAGACGCGCGAACTCGCTCTACAACGATGTAGAACGTGAGCCGTGACCCCGTGGCGCCGGTCGCACGTCATACACGACTTTTATTTTATAAAATGGGCACAAACGTCCGATATAAACAATCCCCTTACATCTCAAACCCGGCTAATCTTGAATTCTCCCTGAAACTCACGAATTGATCAGTTTAGTAGTAACCCGGAAAATTGAAATTCTTTCTTTCTGTTCGACCCTCTAGAACCCTCTAGAATGTCAAAATCAATAATCATGGACATATGCAGGGGGACGATTTAAATCCTCCTCCCTCCGAAATTTATGATAAAAACTCTGACAAAATCTAATATTTTTCCTATTCAAAATCAGGAGCGAGAAGGAGACAGTCTTGATAAAGAATTAATCCATGATAAATTAGATTCAAAGCAAGGGTTGGAATAAGATAATTGCCGATACTTCTTTCAACCGAGCGCCGGTCTAAATGCGAACAGCGCTGCTTCTACGGCGGGATCCATGAAGAGGCTGTCGTCGTTGAACGATACGTCGGCTCTTCTCGCCTTGAGAAGCACGCGCAGCCTTCCCGGATTAGCGACCATAACTCTTACACGCGAGCGCTCTAAACACCCCGCGATTCACGCGCGTGACTCTAAACACGAAACGATGTCTCGTTGCTACCATGCATTCTCCCTCCTGTTTCAGCATTCGTTCTGGACCGCCTGTGGCGAGACATCTTTCTATTACAAATATTGCAATTCTCTTCTTCTAACTGTCCCATAATCGCTGCCCATGTTAGGCAAATTTCTACTTATTGTAATCTTTTAAATGTCATATTTTTGCATGATGTTAAGTGATATAATCGAGCGAAATCAAGTTAATTAAAAAAAGAACATGTAAATATGGATAAAGATATAATTCTTCACATATATTGCATCAAACTAGCGTGCACATTTAATACTTTCATTTCAGCAAGTTTTTTCTTTTCACATTCGTTAGAAATAAAAATTTTGCACTGAAAGAAAAGTGTTTATACTATAATTGCACGGAAAAATAATTATGGTTATTAAAAGCTCCATTTTTAATTTTTAATAATTATTCTATAGTATTAGTGTCATAATTATTATTAAATAATCTCTGTGTTTTATTATTTAATAAAGTGAATTTATAATACCAACTTTGATGGTTGGAAGCTATTGAAATTTATATTAGCTTTAATATCTAGTGTACTAAATTTGATATAAACGTTAAATATAATACACAATACCGCAAAATATTGTATTTAATATTACCACAGTAACAAACGTAACTAACATCAATACTGTCCATCGATTATTAGTTTATAATATGAGAAAATTATGTACAAAAGTGCCTTTACTCTTCGCATATAATTCGCCCTTCAAATAAATATTTGCTGTGCGCCTTTGATAAATTTTATCTCAACGCGCGCGAAGGCTCGAAATTATTAATGATTATCTCCCCGGTATATATCTGTGTAACACAGAGGACTTCGATAGTCTTAGGTTTCACCCCTGTGAGTAAGAGGCCGACGGGATTAATTGAGCGAGCAGGAGCCATGTCGGCGAGGCCGTATCTTCGTCTATCTATCTATCCGGACATTCAGCGATTAGCGAATAATAAAGTCCGGTAATACGAGTCTCAACGACGGAGCTGCGCTTATCGTGCTCGCCCTCTCCCTCTTTCTTCGTTCCTTGTCTATTATCCTCTATGTAAATGTTCCTTGCCGACCGACCGACGATCGCACGTAGAAAGACGAGCCCCGGACAATCGTATATACTAGCGATACTGTCGACCACCGTCAAGCGACAGAGAAACTGTCGTCGACCGACGAAAAGAAATCCGTCTTGATATTCTATCGAGAATGAAGAAAGAGAAGAACACCTCGTATCTGGCTGCGATAACTTTGATTCCGAAGAATTTTGCTTTGAGATAGCATTGTCCTCGCAACTTTGATAGGTTTGGAAAACTTTTCGGGTATTGTTAAAAATACGGAAGAGATTTGTAAATCTTTTTAGAAGAATCTTTATATTCTTATTAATATCACATTATGTGTCTCTTGAAACAAAGCAACTTTTATTTGATACTTTTCCTTCTATCCTGATACAAACAAGTATCAGGTTATTCAGGTGACCTGTTATTCAGTTATTCAGGTGACCTGTTTTAAATGCCTCATCCTTTATATGTATTGATAATCTCACTGTCATGATATATTACTGGAATAGTAAAGAGTTAATACTGTACAAGAGTCTATAATTAATTTTGATGTATCTATGTAATTGTTAAGTTGGTACTAAAGAAGATCTAAAAGAAAGGAAACATTTACTTATTTTATGATATCTATAGTATTAACTTCCAACATATTGGCATTATCATTTCATTTGTTATTTAATTCATAAACATTTTAATCCTTTTAGGAAAGTCGATACAATTCATAGATCTTCTCAAATTAAATTTGATTTCCGTAATCATATTGTTACTTATTAAGACTTATTAAGACGCATGATATTGTTAACGGAATACCGGTAAATCGTCGATGCCGCTGCTGAACATTAAATCATAAGCGTTTCGTCACCGTGAGATAAATCGCGGGATATTTCTATGTTCCGTGGAATTAGGCGCGCGACGTCGACGACAATTTCGTCGGTGGAGGAGAGACCGTAATCGTACAGAGGCGCGAGAATGTGTGACTAAACGCCGCGCGGAAAGATCGGGACTCTCCTCTCGCGCGCCGCAGGCTGCCCGCGGTATATCACTCTCTCTCTTCTCCTTCTTCCCTCTCTCGGGAAAATCATCTCTCGCGGAGAACCCTCCCTCGCGACGACGAATGCTCCCGACTACAGTTTTGTATTATTAGAACGCGGCCTTTAGCAACAATCCGCTGGGCTTCTTTCCGCCGAGACTGTCGGGTCTATTCGGGAATTCGTCCGGATTAGATTGTTATACTTTATTTTCATTATTCAATCGATCTCAATTTAATTGAAATTAACTTGGAATTAATTGAAATTAATTGAAATTAATTTAGGCATGCGAGAGAGAGAGAGAGAGAGAGAGAGAGAGAGAGAGAGAGAGAGAGAGAGAGATAAGAGTGACAACTTTACTTATCGATCATATTCTTTTTGTAACACGCATAATCGTCGATAAAGAACTTTTAGGTCTGTTTTTTCTTCGCTATATAGTTTACACTAGAACTTTCTTTCTTGCCAAATATTAAACATATAGTACATTTAAGTTCCAAAAGTGTACACTAGTTTAGATATAAAAAAAAACCAGACTTCTTGATTAATAAAACTAATTTTTTTCCTCGACTCGTTACGATGTTTAGATTTAGTAAAGTTTGACTGCCACAAGACGCATAACGGAAATAATGAAGTTGTACCTTGATGAAGAGGCGGCAGTGGTGACGGCGGAGACAGCTGAAATGGCTCCTGTTTAATCTTCAGAGAATGAGGAGAGTCCTGCATACTGCTGAGTCCTGCGGAGCCCAGATTGCCATTTCCCTGCTGCAGCTCCTGAAAATGTCATTAAATTAATGAATCCTTTATCCTTTTCTTTGTCTTTTTAGCGAATAAAACTATTCACATTATACATTTTTGTATTATTCAGAGGATTGAGATTATTTTTATTTTATGTTGTGTGTATAATAAATAATTATTGTATGGATACTATATTATGTAAAATCAATATACAGACACAAAGGCGAAAGATATATAATATAAATAAAATGTTTTTGCGAGCGAGTTTCTCATCAACGAATAAAAATACCAAAAGTATAATTTAATTGCACACCGCTAAGAACGGTTTATCGAATAGATCAGTTATTCTATACGAAATGAGATCCTCGAAAACGCTCGTATAGCATGGACTGTGGACGTTGTAAATCTTCGATAAAGGATGCCGCATCGACGAGATAAATACGTTCACACGTCATCCTAAAATACTCGCTAAAACGTAGTCACTCTGGTAGTAAAGTTGTAACTCTTTGGACGAAGGTAAACGAACCAGGATAATCGCAATGGGACAAACCAGAATATAATCGCGGCTATATAATAAAGAAGTTCCCTCGAAGAAGGAAGAGAGAGAGAGAGAGAGAGAGAGAGAAAGATGAGAGCGAACAGGCGGGGCAGGCTAAAAGACTTTTGGCTTGGTGCTTGCGATGTTTGAAGTGCCGTCACCGGAAGCTTACAAACACCGACTGGGTGTTGTGACATCGTATTATGCCAGGGTGAAACTTACGGTCTCGCTAGATCGTTAATTTGCAATTCAGTTTTACGAGGCTTCTAGGCCGCTTCGCGAATTCTAACAATAAGTCACAAAACTCGCTACTGATCTTCAAACGGCGGAAACGTAATTAATTGTAAATAATACCTTAGTATTCTGTACTGTATTCAAATTAATTTCCAGTTTTAAAATTCGATTTTCTTGAAAACAAGACAAAAAATTTTATGTCTTTAATCTTTTCCCTTGACTTTATGGTTAATATTGATAAGAACCAATTTTGCTTATCAATTTCTCGTAAAAACACAAGGTTCATAAACAAAGTAAAACGTATTCTTGAAGGAAAAATAGACTGTTATAACAAATAAAGATTGTAAAAAAATAAAGATTAAAAAATAATAGAGGTTGTTATAAAAAAAAATTAGGAGTTTTCTACGACAGAAATTTCTTGACAGCATTTTTTGATAGTTTCGAATAATAATAATTTATTAATATTATATAATTTTATGTAATGGAAATAATACTTTATCAAATTCTTATCAAGTTTATATCTATTTCTAACGCAGTATTGTTACAATTAATAAAAATACAGTAATACTAAACGGTAACTGGATAGATGACTAGAAAAACTGCGTACATTTCTACCAAGATTATTTCTCAAATTAATATTATCACATAGCAAGATGTATATAAGCTATATATGCTTAAGAATTAAATACAAAGACATTGGTAAATTCCATGTATGTCTATAAATAGAAATCATATAAACACATAGTGTAATCATTGAAAAGAAAAAAATTATATAATTATAATGCACAAAAAATTATAATTATAATTCATCGCGCCAATTTTATCGTATCAAAAACAATCTCTTAAGATCTTATTGTTTCCGGTCAGAATTCACAGAATTGCAATTCTGTTGTGTTTGTTGCGCATATTATTACTCTCATGGACACTCAAAAACCTCGTGGTAATGTTACAAGAGATCGACATGGATCAATGACAAAACAGACAGTATTTTATTATCGCAGTTTCGATAAAAAAAAAAGTATCTTGCTCTCGACTGTTACTTTTCGCACGATACTTTCGCGTGATATTCATGAAATATTCTCAGGAAATGTTTTGAAAGCCAATCATTATAAATCGTTCGAAAATTATCTACGTTCCGACATCTTTGTTAAAACCGGGTCAAAAAATTTTGCAATCGTTTTCGATATCTGTGTACACAAAAAATCACGCGCAAATTAATATTTTCTTTAAATACAAAATTTATTTATTAAAAGCTTTTTTAAAATAGTAGTAAGAAAAGATTTGTAAATCTTTAAGTAAATAATAAAACTTTCAGTTATAGAGACTAGTATAACTCATCTACTTCTATTTAAGTTATAGTTTATATAAAAGATATACATTTTATTTTATATCATGAAAAGAAATTTTTACAAACAAATTAAAAAATTTTTTTTGCTGTATGCTCATCATTTTTGAGTTCCCGACAAAATTATTTTAATAGTACAACAAAATTATGTTTAGTAGTCAGCGAAAGTTTAGATCTTACAGCAAAATCTTTCTTTCCGTGTAGATTTCTAATAATTATAGAACAATCGAAATTTCTGGAGGAATACAAAAGGCTTTAACATTCATCCTCCTATTTAATCATCTCGTTGAAATCCTTGAGAACTCAAGTGAACAATGAGCTAACGAGCGGATGGTAATCAGAGTTGCTATCGATTTTTAGCTCGTATTCGCAAAGTTGATCGCCACACTAGACTGATCGATGGAACGACACGCTCGATAACCCAGTTTTAATCCATTCAGCGATCACGACGTGGACAAACCACATATGAATACCATAGAATCCATGAAGTTAGCGCGATGTTCTATTAATATTAAAAAATAATGACAGTTCCAGTAGCGCTTTTCATAGTTCTATAATTCTTCATGAAAATAAAAAAAGTTTCGCATGTTTTATAAAGAAAAAAACTAAAGTTGAAGATTGAGCTAACTTCACAGATCCACGCGAACTACGGTACTGAAATCTTCGCCAAAATTTCGTTCAGTAAATTGGAAATCATTAGATTCTACTTAACTACACTTTCTCTTTTCGTTATTTTTTACTTCCAAATTCCGCAACTTTTTTTCAAGATGTAAATAAAAGTCTGAAATAAGCAAAGAGAATTTTTTCGTAAAATGTGTATTGATAAAATGAATTCTCTCGCGCGATAAAGCTGCTCAAAATATTACGTGAAATCAGTGTGGAGTAAATGTCGTAGAAGACGTGAATCGTAAGTCGTTGTGAAATTTTTGAGGTTACGACCTGCTCGATTCTTTTTCTTTTTCGTTCTCTTGTTCGAAGATAACGAGAGCGTGCGTGACGACGTTAAGTCGATCGTCTCGCGCATCTTTCTGCGAAATGGGGAAAATCTTCATTAAAAAAATGAGTGATAAAAAGAGCGATTACCAAAATGTAGATAGGGTATAATGATAGTTCATACTCCATATTATACATTAAGCATTTTAAGTATCTCATTCTAGTATTCCCGGTTATCTAAAAAATTGATTTAAATTTCTTATTCAACTTCGCAAAAAATTTTTAATCGATTATGCGTGCTCCGACCTTTTTGACATACAAATATGCAGTTCATGAACAAATATTATACCGACCATCTAAACATTACCATTTAAATCGATACTTATAAAGATCAAACATTAAATAGTTCTAATTAATAATTAAATAAATTAGATCAGAATGTTAAATCAGTTAAATTCGCATTTTTAATTTCTGTTTCCATCACTATAAATTGACTTTAATCTCAGTTCAACTAAACTCTTCATTTTTATTTAGTTCCAAGATTTAGAAAAAAATGAAGATTAACTTTAATCTTAATTCAACTTATATATCTTTATATATCATTTGCTTAAAGTGCTTAAACTTAGAAAAAGATGAAAAGTAAATTAAATCAAGACTTAGGTTAATCTACATTAGTAGAAAGCATAAGAATTATAAGAAGATTATAATAAGAGTAAATTGAATTCAGATTAGACTTTTGTTATCTATAATATATTGATGTGTGTGTGGAACCAAGCATAAAAAATGTTTTCGTGAACTTTTTTTACTTACCCCAGAAACAGGGATGATGTGTGAGACCATCCTGGACCTGTCCACGTAATTCATAAAGGCGTCAGCCGTCGCCGCTGCATTTACTCGATGCTGCTGCAGCTGTACCCAATCACCAGTCGGGCTCTCCACAATTGCACCGCCGACGGCTTCGACAGATAAAGGTAGAATAATGCCTCCGAATCCGTCAAGATTTTAATGTCCGGAATCTTATTTCACTTTGAAGTCATGCAATCGTTTCATGCTCCCGGGATTGTTCGTGGTAAGCAAAACACTCGTTTCACATCGACGACACAATTATTTCATATAATACCGCAAATCGTAAAAGGAAGCTAAAATTGTCCTGAATATAATGTGATAAGAAAGTACATCGCAAGAGTAATATTGCGATCTCGCACTTTACATCTTCAAGAAAAATGCTTCGTGATAACCGAACGTGAAGGTTTGGAAAAATTTTCTTGAACCGGAAAACACAACTGGAAAAATCTGTAACAGAATAAACACACATATTCTTTTCATCTTCTGTAAATTTCTATAATAATGTACTTGTACGTGAAAAAGAAAGAATTAATCAGAAATCAAGTTGATTGCGTTTAGCAAGAAACAATTTTTTTTAATTTTATAAAATGACAAATTTAAAAAATTTACAATTCAATTAATTTAAAAGTCAAGTTTAAATTTACAACTTTGGCAAATGAAACAAAAAAATACTTTTATTATTTTTTCGTTAAACATTGTATTACATAATTATGTATATACATATACAATAATTAATGTATCGTTTTTTTTTGTTATATATAGGTACATATGTTTAATGAAAAAACGATATATTTCCAAATTATTCATAAAGTCCATAACATAATATTATGTATAGTTTAACAAATATATTCACAAATATAAGAATCTTTTTACGACCGTACTATTGATAAACAATAATAAGAAGAAAGGAAGCACGAAGCAAAGCCATTAACGGTCAAAGCTAGATTACAATGCTTATTATAATGTGTGAATTTATATACTGCGTATGTAGTTCACTCAATCGCGTGCCAAAAATTTTTTCAGACTTACAACGCAACTCTAAAGGACTACCGCGGTAATATCACTTTAGTTAAAATATATTCACATTTTATATTTATATTTCATTTAGATACATTAAAATAAAATTTACATAATATATGCTACACATTATGAATAACTCTTAAATGTATGTAATCACTATAAAGATAATGTATATATAAATAATCTTGTTTATATTATTATTTTTAATTGCTGAAAGTTACGCATAAAAACTTTTTTATCAAAATCTTTGTGACCTGTACCACACTATAGTTAAACTGTACATAATTTTTACCGCTTGTCAGCTTTCCGAAGTGCCCGATTCGCAATCCACATACAATGCCGAAAGAAAAGCTGACGCAATCATTAATGTAATGCTGTCCCGAATTAGGTCAGCTGACTCAGCGAAAACCCCATACATTGGCAGTGTCAAAATAATAATTCAACATACTCGGTCTTACAACTGATAAGAGATTAACTTCGTTGTGGCCTTCGGAATGCAATCAGGAGAAAGAAAAAACAAAAACAGATGTACGGCTTAATTATCGAAGCATCCGTTATTCCCGATGTATTTTCTTGTTCCTTTTTGGAGTACTCACTTCCCTCCACTGGGATTGATTCAGCCAGGCTAACAAATTGTCGAATTAATTCAATCTATTTCTATCTATTTCTATGTGGGTTAACTTTAATCTTTATTCAATTTACTCTTCATCTTTTTCTAATTTTTAAACAGAGGCTTTCTACAATAAGCTATTAGTAATAAATCAGAAACTAGATTGACCAATCGTAGTCGATTATTCTTCTCACATTCACTGTAATTAGTCAGTTCCTAGCTTCTAACTTCTGATTAGTTATTAATGGTTTATTGTAGAAAGTCTCTCAAGGCTGGAGCGCAAATTCTAGCATAACGCATAATGCATAAAAAATCAACCAATCAAAGTCTTTTATTTCATGGAAAGAAAGGAAATAAAAGTCTTTAATTAATTCGTATCATTATGTGTTATGCAATATTCTGTACTACTTAGAATTCAAAAAAGTTGAACAGTTAGTTGAATTGAGATTAAGTTAAACTATATTAGGGAAAAACGGATATAAATGAAATACAAAAAACAATGATCATAAACGCGAGTTAATTTAATCAGAAACTTTCAAAAAACACTTTATATCCACATTCGTTTACTCCTCTGACATAATTCGTTATTCCCAGTATGCACAAATAGACATCAAATTGAAGTTTGTCATTAGTACAATGCTAACAGAGGAAGTCAATGTTTCCCGACATCTTTTGATATCTGGACTTCCGCCGAACAGAGAGAAAAAGTAATTTAAAACGACGACCGCGGTATCGAAATTCACGTTCCAGCGTGTTCTAAACGAGCACAGCGACATAACGTTACATTATTTTCACGAAAACGCCACCACGAGACGAGAGACGCGATGTCTCTACACGCCGTCGGTTGACGGTTTCGGAGGGATGACGAGCGCGCAACAGCTGAACACTTAGCGTCCTTAGTGATGACTGGAAAGAAAGGGACACCTCGGGGTCTCCGGGGACTCATCGGGACTTCCGCCGGCGTTGGCAGAAGGAACCTCTACTTCGTCCGTGTCATAAATCCTGCCCCGATCGCAGTGTTTACGATTTTTCGGGGTCGTTCCCCTTTTTAATTTAGCCGATTCTAAGTACTTTGTTAAAAACTTACAGGAATTTTTTTCGACAATCATGAACTGAGCATTCTTAATGGAGCACTCTTATCAAACATTCGCACGGTTAACCGGGCCAAAGATAATTTATATATATATCTGTTGACGGGAAATCGCTTGGCCCTCGTTCTCCTCTTCCCATCGATTAGATTATGTGTTTGTTAGGCGACATTATATTTTTATGTCTTCACTAATTCGTAATCCGCCGTAATTCTGTTTGTAACGAAAGGTCTGTTGCGAGAGGTCGCAAGTGTGATAAGAAAATTGTAAACAGTTCTATTAATCGGCAGTCTTTACGTTTACGTTTTTTGAACTTTACTAATGTATATATTTACAATCTCTAATGTTTCCAATTTGTTCAAAAAAATTTCGCGAATCTTACGTACACGTAAGTGTATTGTTAGTTTAAAAGAATATTAAATTCAATAAAATTGCATATAGAAATGTAAGAAAATCGCGAGATTTTCAAGTAATTTCCTATTTTTTAGTTCATTTCTTATGAACATCTTCACTCTGTTTTAATAACAGTATTTTCAGTAATCTTTTAGAGTGCAATTTTATTCTAAGAAATTTAGAGAAAAGAAACGCAAGCTGTGAAGACATAAATTTGATCAACTAATAAAGTTTTATATTACTTTAGAAATATTATAAAGGATCAAGATATTTATACTACAATCTTTTTATTAAGATTTATTTCAAATTTCAGAATATTAAAAAATTAAAAAATATTTTTCTGCATTTATTTGAGTACACATTTTATTGGAGTAATTATTTCATTATATAACGAATACCTCTCGCTTATTCACAAAAACAAGAAAATTTCAATTTTTTTACAATTCCACTTAATGCAAAAAATGTATGTAGTTATCTTATTTTTTTCATTTGTTAAAATGGTCTTTGTTTTGTATTAATTTAAAAAACTTATACAATTATGTACAATGTACAAATAACTACAGATAAAATAAATTATCATAATAAATTTCCTACGTAATAGAAACACATATTTTTTTTCATAAAAAAGTTATAACATAGATCCTTGAGATTCGCTCTAAATCTTTTGGTATTAATTTTATTTCTTTTAAGAAATTATCAAATTCACATCCGTGGAAGAAGAGATTGTGAAACATAACATTTTTTCAAATCAATATTATTTAAAAATTAAGAAAAAATTTAGGATCACCAGGACCAATATTTTCTAATTACAGATTAATAAATACGTATAAATAAACTTATAGATAGAATTCGTTTTTCATTACATACATACTTTTCGTTACTGCCGTGCATTTTGCAACCTTATTACCAGGTGTAGAAGAATAAATCAAGTTTGGAAAGTAAAAGGAAATTAAATATACATTTGCTTCACCATTATAAAAAAATAGTGAAATCTTTCTTCTCGCTTCGGTAAATCAAGAATATTTTTGCTAGCAAGACACATTTCAAAAATATCTAACTTCCTTTAAATTCTTGCAAGTTTAAACTTTCACGTTTAGACTGATATTTCATGTGTCGTATACGACAAAGTTTTTCAAGCCTGTTGATCGGCTGCAAAATAAAGAGGTTTTCGGGTCTTCCTATTCCAGTAGTCAATGAACACGCTTAAGAGTCTGTCATATAACATCAAATATCAACCTTTTCAATTGTAGAGACTTAATTCCTTCGTGCCTTGAAAAAAAGGAGAAAGATGCCCCGATATGAAGTGACGATATACTGACGTTAATCGGATTCACGTGAGTTTTTCGCAAGAGGGCAGACGGCGCCGATCAGTCGATCAGTCACCAACTCTTTTCCACGTTTGAGCAGAGAAAACTCCGCTTATCTTCCCGCGCGCGCGTTGCAGCAAAGAAGAAGAAATATTTATCTCGCTGTTTAGTAAACAGCCGCCCATCCGAACCGCTACAAATCGGTCGCGGCCCCCGATCGTAGAACTGAAGTTTACAAACTCTCCGGTGATCTCGTGCGCCTCCGCGAGTCTTTGAGATAGCCGAAAAAAATGTACGCGCGAAACCGGCGGCGGCGCGGCGGCACGCGCAACGATGACTTACTTCTTCTTCCGCGCGAGTGATAATGAGGAATTTCATTCATCGCGTACCTCATGCGTTCTCTCTCTTTCTTCCGCCAACAATGATTTGTACTCCGAACTGATAAATCTACGAAATGATTCGTTCATGCCCCATTATAATCCCGTTCCTTAATGTAAATTAACTTTGATCTCGGTTCAATTTACTTCTCTCATTTTTAGAACAAGAAAAAGTTGAAGAGTTAGTTGAACCGAGATTAAAATTAAACTTACATTAGAAACGGACATAAA